AAAATTAAATTTTTAACTACTTAATAAGGTATCTGTGACCTTGGAATCGGAGCAACGGTCACCGAAAAATAGTCATTGGAATTAAGTGTGGCCGGAGAACAGTCGCCGAGCGCCGGAGTAGTCGCCGGTGGGGTGGGGTGGCTTAATCATATTATATTATAGTTAAATATTTAATTTAATAGATTAATTGTAAAATATAATTAATAAATTAATGAAAAAACCTGAGTTTTGTAATTTAAAACTTTGGGACATAATTTTTAATTTCCTGAAAGTAAATCCCTGAACCATAAATTTTTCCCATATTTTTGTTACAATGATGGAGTTTTGATTTTATATGGGGCTTAAAGATTCTTTTTCAGTGTATTTTAGCAATTACATTCCATTTTATAGCTGGATCCAAGCTTCTTGTTATTGTTAGGCCTGAGAAAATTGTACCTAGAGGGCTTATTTGGAGTCTATAAACTTTTGATACAACAATATATTGTAATTTCAAATGCTTATCATCAATAATTAGTTTCAAGCCAACGTACAGAAAGATTTCTTGTTATTCAAAATGATTGGCTCTGAAGTTTGTTGAGTGTATTTGATGTAGAATAATGAGGATTATTCTTAACAGAGACCGTGAGAAGAAACAGGAGAAGGAAGAAAAGTGTGATAATCGCCAATTGTAATTTTACTCAATTATTAATTGTTCCAACTATTATGAAAAAATCCAATAAATAGTAAAAACATTACCTACTAGTGACGGGCTTGGGCCAACCCACTACAAGCCCAATAATAATAAAAAACGTAGTTAATAAAAATCAACAATAAAATAGATCGTGATGTCCGCATCAACTCTTCCGGGGTGGGAGAAAAACTCGACCCTGTCGAGTGAATAAATCATAAGAGACTGCAATCAATCGCTCAACCATAAACCAAGAGGTTGAACGAGCTTCTTCCGACGTCCATAAAAGCGTGTTAGTGGTGGTCTAAATCTGATTTGGGTCAAGGTCCACAGATGGAGGTAGAAGAGGATCATCAGATGGATTGAAATGGCCTTTATAAGCAACTAAATCATCAACATTGAAAGTAGGTAGTAGCCAAGATGTGGCGGAAAATCAAGAATATATGCATTTGGGCCAACTGCTTTAAGATTTTAAGAGGACTAGCGCTGAGAGCTTGCAATTTGGAGGCAGATCCATGTAGGCATTGCTCCGATCAAATTCGGATCATAACATAATCCTCAATATTAAAATAAGCATGTCTTTTATGCAAATCGTCTCAAAGTTTATATGATGCGTTAATGGCTGCAAATTGTTTATTGATCTCAATATGTAAATCATGAAAATGTTGTGCAAATGCTTCAACTAACATAGACACTCTAGCATGTGGGAACATCGGAATGAAATCTAAAGGCTTCCTAGGCTTAAAATAATGAACAACTTCAAATGAACTCATACTTAACGACCAATTCATGGAACTGTT